TTTATTAAGATTTGACAAAAAAAAGTGTATACTGAATTACTATATACTTTGTATGTACCCTTTGCAAAAAAAAAAAAAAACATAATCACATAATCAAGTAACCAAATCGAACCCTAGACAAAACTACATTAGTTACACATCAATGCCGGAGTTAACAGAAGAACATTCTGACTCTAGAACCCAGTTTCTAAGCAATTCAGTATCACCGAATCAAAGTAAAATTCACATAAAAATATATATATTCAGTTGCTGTAATAGTTTAGTGGGATTAATCTTTAGTAACAACAAGTAATGAACAAGAATAATAAAAAAAAAAAAGTAATGAACAAGAACAACTTATTTGCCCGAATTGTGTCAAAAGAGTAAAGAGCGAAGAACATATAGCTTTTTTTTTTTGTCAACCACACATTAATTAAAAAGTAACTCCATGATTGGTTGCCCAATCAGGAGGAGAAGAGTTTACAAAAGTAGCTTCCGAGAGTAGAAGTCTAGAAGATCGAGCTAAACAATCCGCCTTACAATTACATAAACGAGAAATATAAGAAAGCAAGAAGAAGAGAAAAGAAGCACGGAGCAAACCAAAATCATCTAGCAGATTGGAGAAAGCAGGCCATTCTTCAGGGGACTGAACCATCAAACATATAGCTCTTATGATTAAACTTTTGATATAGAACAAAAAAAACTTTGGTATTGTGGGAAACTCAATCCCAAGAAGTCAAGACTCGTTGTTGGATACCACATTCACTTAACGTCACCGACTGACGATTGGTGTGAGTGGGCTCCCAGTTATAAAACAATTTAGATCTCAATTACAATTTTTTTCTTCTTAAATGTTTTTTTCCTTTTTTCTTGCAAGTGATGTCTACATTAGTTACACATCAATGCCGGAGTTAACAGAAGAACATTGTGTTTACGTCTTGTTTTCAGTTTTATTTTACAACTGTTTCTAGTTGTTTCTGTGTACTATTTATTTAAAAATGAAATATTAGAGAGAAAAATAAGGCTAATTGCAATTTGCTTAAAAGGCCACATAGGAAATATTTGAAAATACAGCAATAAAAAAATGTACACTAAAATGTATAGTTACTAGATTTTAACCTGCGGTACACCGCAGGACTATATTTTTAAAAAATATTTATAGCTTAAAATTTATAAAAAATTTTATATATAAAACCGATTGATTGTGTATAATTTTAATAAGATGTGATGTATCTCTTATAGTTAAAGTATAGTATTATTTGACTTTATATGGCTACATATTTATAAAATAAGATTTTGACCTGACCCATCAAAATCATGGAATTGTATACTGCGGGTACACCGTATGACAAATTTTTAGTTATTGTATTTTAGATAATAATTTTCAGTTTATTTGGTTTTTTAATTCTAATTATTTTTTTTATCTAACTAATTTATCATTTTGTTTTGACCCGTGGTACGAAACAAATATTTTTTTCTTATGTTTTATACTTATAGTTTATAATGGTAGGGAGTATTTATAGTCGTGTAAGTTAGTTTTTGAAGATCTTGGTGAGCAAGCATAGTATCTTAGAAACCATAACATATTTGGAATAAATTTTTGGAAATCATTTAGTTTAAAGGAATATGCAATATATTTTTTGTTATTGATTAGTACTTAGTTGGGATATCATAGATATGTAATCGATTTATGGCCAAAAATTGATATAGAAACAATATTGATTTTAGTTACAATTTTTGGAAACACGTTATCTATAGATTAGCTTTAAACGATTGTTGTTTACATTAATTGTTTTTTTTTAAATGGCAATTAGAAAATAAGCGAATATAGATATGGAAAGATAAAGTTTAAGAGATAATTTAGGATCTAAATAGTTTTGTTAATATCTTTTATTAAATTTTTCAAATTTTGAGAATTAAAGTCAATGGCATTTCTTGTAAATACATTCCAACTCTAGGATTTATTTCATATTTGTACTTGGAAAATATATATATAGATCATTATATATTTGTTTTTAACATTGATTTAATATATAAACTTTTAAAAAAAGAAACATTGATTACATATAACACAATAAAATAGCACGAAAACAAACGAAATGAAGGTTTTAATAAAGAAAAACTTAAGCAAAAATTAAGAAAAAATGAATTGAAATTTTATATTTAATTGATGAGTTGCATTATTATTAAGTAAAATAATCTACTATTTTTTCTCATAAACCATCACACTTACATAACTATGTGTATACGCTTAGTTGTGCACATTTATATAGAAAATCTGATATAATAATGTTTTTTTTGTTTTGTAAATTTATTGTGATTATCACTTAAAAACTATGTTTTCAAAATATTACTACTAGATTTGAATAAACAAAACATATATTTATTTTTGATTAAAAAAAAATTGTAGAGACTAGAGACAATCAAAATATGATATTTTACATATTGATATCTCTTGTGTACAACCAAACTGGAGTATGTTCAGCGATATAGATTACCAACGAGTCAAGGACTTTTGATCACTCCAACCTATAGTTTGAGTACAAGAGAAGCAATGACGGAGTAATCCACTATTCGTTCTTGATATTAAGGGATGTTCGTTTGATGTTTGTCCTACAACGCTGGTGTTTTAGGAATCTTGAAGATAATACTTAGTACAAAAAAAAGTTTCAACGCGTTACAATTACCTTTCTGTTTAAGATTTGTGTCATGCATTACAAAACCTTTCGCGGAGAAATAGCAAAATTGACATAATTTTGTGGAAATATCCATTCAGTCACCGTCATTACTAATTATTTCCCTTCCAAGATTTTTTTTTTGTTGGTCTCATTTAGTGTCCTCGTCGTTTATTGGGTTTTCTTGGGTCAGACTTCCATATTTACTAACAGTAACCATTTTTTATTAGTCAAATGAATCCAGTAGTAATTACAATAAAATAAATATTTCCACATGTAAAATATATACAAAAAACAAACATTTTAATCTAAATGGACTATAAAAACAAAAAATCAATAAAACATAACTTCAACCTCACCATCAAAAGATTTACCAAAGAACAAGAAACTTAACTAGTGAAATGAAAAAAAAACACATCTACTTTGAGAATGAAAATAGTTTTCTATAAGATTTTGTTATTGGGTTTTCTACTTGTAGCCGTCATCCATAAGTAAAAAATAAAAATTTTTAAAAATTCATAGAGGAATTGATAAGCCTGTGGAAAAAAAAAAACTTTCAAGTTCACTTTTTCTTTTTGAGTGAATTTATAGAACTGTATTATTGGGCCTAAATGGGCTTTGTCACTTGGATATTGTAGCCCAATTACGTTTAGATGTTGCTTGTGTATTTTTTTAGCCGTGCATTCTTCCCGGTACTCGAATCTAGATATATCTCTCATAAATTTGACATGTCTCACAAGACCATAATAAGTTTTTCGGTTTGGGTTTTAAAAAGAGTGAATTAGGTGAATAACTATATTAGATAAGTTATTTAAGAATATAACACTATAAATTGTAAAATGAAGAAAATAACACAAGAGGATTGTGGAATGACCAATTTGGGTTTAAATGTAGGAAGCATGTGTGTAAAAAAGAAGAAGAAACGTAGAGGAGGGAGAGAAAAACAAATGTTTCCCTTTCTTACTCGGAGCAAAAACAATTACCCCATTATTAGTTTATTTGCTTTAATTATTCTTGTAAAAATTTATTCAATCTCTCACCATTATATTAAAAAACTTATCTTTTTTTTTTGACATCTAACATAATTTGAATTTTTAAAATCTGATATAAATTTTTTAAGATAGTAAATAGTATATCTAAATAAAACAAATAAATGAAATAGTATAGAATGAAGTGAAATGGTATAGGATTAAAAGTAGTGACGACGATTATGATTTCGGCAAGTTCGACGATGACGAAAGGCTCATGCCGTGGTTATAGTGGTGGTGACGGACTGACAGTGTGGTAGTGGTTGCGGCGGCGGTGGTGGTGGTGGTGGTGCGTTGGTAGTGACGGCGTGGTGATGGTGGTGTGGTGATGGCGTTGCGGTGATGGTGGTGTGGTGACGGCGTTGCGGTTGTGGTGCAGGCACAATAGTGGTGGAGGTGATGACCGTTTCTTGGTGGTGGTGATAAAGTGATGACGGTGTTTTGGTGGTGGTAATAAATAGAATGGTAAAAGAGAAGAGTTGAGTGATTGTGAGAAACAAGGGTATAATGGCAAATATTACAGAAAATATATAGGATATCATTCACTTTTTTTGTTTTGGTTAGTTAGTGAATTATTGATTTTTTGTTGGTTATTGATGCAAATTTTCCTTTTAAAAAAATGTCCAAAAATTTAGAAGGGGTTATTGGTTCATGGATTTATAAGGAATTAGAAATCCAAACAAAAATCATTTGTTATTCAATCATTGATTTTAAAATCCTAATTAAATTCATGTGTTATTGGTTCTATAATTTATAAATACTAGTTAAAATCATATGTTATTCGTTTAGTCATTTGTTTTTGGATTTGAGAATCCAAATTATGTTTTAAATGGATTTGGATGGAATTGAAAGAGAAAAATAGAAGGATTCAAATCCATGGGTAAACACATGTTATTTCAAAATCCATATATCTTGATTTCATAATTAATAGAAATTTTCAAATTCTATATGGATTTACAAATTAATAAACCAATAAATTCAAAAGTTTTTCATATGTTCACAAAAGCTTTGGTTCGAACTTGGAAACTTGACAAACTTTTGAAAATCTTCCAGTAAAAAGAGTAATTCATTTTATTGGTCAACTTTTAAACTATGTAAACCCTATATTATGCAATTCAATTAACAATTTCTTTAAAACATCGTTAAATCCATAAAATGTTCAATCACGAAATTGAAATCCTAAACCCACTACATTCTCAGTACTTTATGCCGCATGAAGCATGACCATAAAATATTTGGAAGATGAAGGTGATCACAAACTTACATCCTTGTTTTTGCACACACACACACAAAAAAAAAAAAAAAAAAACTAAATCAATAACTAGCAACCACTTTACTTTTCTTTGTAATCCAACTCACACAGTATAATCTACAAAAATCTCATTAAAATTCAAATGATGATCAACAAGAGGAAGATATCAAACACATAAAGAGCTATTTCCAATAAGAAATACTTAGAAGATTACATTTCTCTACTTCAAACCTAAATCACACTTAACAGATTATTATTATGAAAACTCTAAGAAAAAAAACATTACAAGCCATAACTTTATTCAAAAGAGAACCTACAAAGAGACAATGAAATGCTTAAGCCTATTCACATATTACTACATACTAAACCCTAGAAGCGAAACTAAAGACTTGTTTAACAAGATTACTTCGAATCTTCCCCTTGAAAAAATAAAAGAAGAATTCGAAAAACGTTTCATAACAAAAGATGTCTCTAGAGCTCTTTTAAATCCCGACGATCGGAGAATGCGACTGGTTTAAACGATCGGAGAACCGGACATTTTCGTCGGTTAAAGGTGGATTTAGATGATCGGAGAAAGAAATGAATCATGCGATATCTAATCGCAGGATTCTGATGAGATCATTGGTTGCATCAGAGACGTTTTTCTTAGCGAAGAACGCCGGTAAAGGGACTTCGCTAGGCGGAGGAGAGGTTGATGTGACTGGACCAGCGTAAAACAAAGCCGGCATCGGTTTCCGGTTTGGAATTCTAATCGGATCCGAAATCTTAACCGGATCTGAACCGGTTTGACGGTTAGATTTCAGATCTGGTATCTTAACGGTGATATCTTCGCCACGTTTCAGAATTCGAACCGGATTGGTGTTGTTGAGAGGAGGAGGCGGAGGAGGATGAGAGATCGGGGTTTGGTGACGTGGCGGACTCCGGCGACGGCGATTGGGTACCGGTTTTTTATGAGAACAATCATGAGGATGAAGAACAACAGCGACTCCCATGGTGATATCTGAGATCTAGAAGGGAAGGGAAATGAAAATGTTGGGAGGAAAATGAGAGAATTGGGAAGGAGAAGGGTATAATTGTAAATGGGAGATATTTTTGAGAGAGTGGAGGAAGATGATGGAAGAGGAGAGATTTTTTATACAGGATTGTTTGTTTAGTTTAAGTTAGGTAAGCGTGTCTTCTTCGATGGCAAAAATGTGGTTTGGTTTTTTTAGATACTCTTCACTCGTTCCAGCTGCTGTATTTCACGCGCTTTATTTTATTTTTGTAAAAGTAAGTTGGTCTCCCGTTATACAAAACGAATTATCTCGAGGCCAAGACAAAAATAAAAATGGAATATATCGTTTTTCTTTTTGTCCAAAGAAAGACAAATTTGAATTTAATAGAAGGGAGTATAGTAGTCGCACTTATTACTAAGCGTGGACAAATAAACCGAACTGAATGTATCGAACCGAAATCAAAGTAAAAAGAATCAAACCGAACCAAAATTAAAGTAAAAAGAATCGAACCGAACCGAACCAAATTTTTTTGAAATAACCGAATGGATACTAAATTCTATACCGAGAGAACCGTAACCAAATCGGTATTGAACCGAAATATTTTGGATAACCGAAAATACCCGAAATACAATTATATTTTCAGAAATATTAGTTATTTATAGATCAAATAAAAGTACTTGAAAAATATATAAAAATAGTAAAAATACTCGAAAATAACCGGAAAATATCCAAAAAAATATCCGAAAATACCCAAAAATAACCAAAATGTCCGAAAATATCTAAAGCAAAATAACCGAATGGATACTAACTTTTAAAACCGAAACCGAACCGAAATTTTAAAATACCCGAATGGATACTAAATTTTAGAACCAAAAGAACCAAAACCGAATGAAACCGAACTGATAACCGAACGCCCATGACTACTTATTAGAATCAGAGATATCATAAAAATCATTATCGTAATAACGCGTATAATTTGACTCTAAACTAAACCGAGGTAGATAGGGAGGGACGGACACATGAACGATATTTGTAAAGTCGGAGTCCTTCTCAAGTAGCGGCTGTAAATGGTAAATCGAGAAATCTTTGATACGTTATTGGTTTAGACCCGTACATTCTTTTAGGTTGGGAACCAAAACACATAAAAAAATTTTATTTAATCTAACTTTTTCTTCGTATCTTTTTAATCAATCCGACAAAGAGCTCTACTCTTCATCTCGTAATGAACTTGATCTTCTTCCATGCGTGCAGGTTGACTTATTGCTTAGTGTCTTGACTCATCGAAACACTAAGCAAGTCTCCACCGAGCTTGTCTGTGATGGAACTAATGCTCAAAACGAATGATTGAGCTGACAAAAGAAGGTTTCAAGCTTGACTGGTTGAAGTCGAAGCTTGAGGACGTTTCCTTGGAGAGGAAGAAAGCAGTTTCTGATGGTTCTCAAGACCAACAATTCGAGGACTGGGTCAAGAATGTTGAACTGACTTTGTCGGATCTTAAAGGTGAAGTGGACAAGGAGAAGATCAAATACTGGCTAATGCTAAAGTTTTCTTCATTTATATTCATAGATTTTCTTATAAAGAGATTCTTTCTCTTTTGCTTCTCAATCAAGTTACCATAGATATATTTCGGTTTGAAATCAAGTTTCTTTTCCGGCTAGGTCGAGTGGATCTTAGTGGTAATTAATTAATTAGATTAAATTTTTTTATTAAGATTGTTTAATATTTAAGGTTGCTTCAATATCTCCAATGTATGATTTGGGTTACTGACCATGAACAAATTGAACTCATTAGAGCTACCATTGTAACAAAACCAAATTAACAATGTTCTAAGTTGTAATCAAGTTTGGAAAAGAGCTAGAACAAAAGTCTCTACAAGATGGCACAAAAGTTAAATTATTAAAAAGTGAAATAAATGCATGTAAATTTGACAAACTGGAGAAAAACAAATGGTTCCATCAAATTTTTATTTCGTTTGTAGAATTAAGCGAAAGGTACAATATGGTTCTTCTAGTAGCTAGACATACTGACCATTCCACACCCGAGTCATTGAAGCCTTCATTATCTCAACGGAAAGACCTGGATTCCTGCTCACAAAAACCTTAAACTCAGCAGAGTCACACATCGTCCTCAAATTCCTTATGATAAATTTGACAGCAGAGGTGTACAGGGTACTGTCGATAGGAATAACGGACAACTCGAAGATGTTACAAACATTCGATGAGTTAAGAGATGCAATAAGCTCGTTTCTGCATAGATCCCGCAAATGCGGAATCTCATATTTGTCCGCTGCAATATAAAGTGACCGAACATGTTTCTTCTCTTGGACAGAAAGCACAGAGCGGTTGTTGTAGATGAACTCAACTAAAGCCTCCAACTCTTCTTGTTTAAGCTCAGAGAGAGTTTACTGTCTCGATCTTCCCATTCGAAGCCTTGAACTTGTCGAATTCAAGCATCTTCTTAAACACCTCTGATCTTGCTGCCTATTTTAACATTTTGAAATATTAACAACAACTAGTGAGTAAAAAGCATTTCAAGTAAGATCCAACACTAAAAAAACAATCATTTCTAAGTTAATCTTGTTTTTATTAGTGCATTTTGAAAATTGTTTCTTGAGACAAGGATGATAAACAGAAAAAACAGATAAGAGAGAAAAAAAACATTAGAGACCATAACAAGTTTGTGGACGGAGATAGCTGCACCCTTTTTAGTGTCCCTAGCCTTGAGCCGTAGATCGACTTGCCATTGTTCACTTAAGACCTTTGCAAATCCGCCCAAGTAAATTTCTAAGTTGGTGATCGTTGCCATAACTATAATTTGAACTTCATCAAGTAAAAGATGGTGATTTATATAGAGAAAATACACGGCAGTCAAAATGATTCATGTTTTACTCTCTTCGTTTTCCTAGACTTACGAAATGGAGGAGACATTAATGATAATAAATAATACACATAAAGTCCCAACTTTTAGTCGCCATTCTCTCTTTGGATTCCGAATTCTATGAACTAAAGGGATCTTTATCAAGTATTTTGAAAATATAAGTTGCTTGGTCAATGGAGTATTTTTGTTAATTTTATTTTTGGCAGCATTATTCCTTTTTAGTAATAATTCTATATAAATAAACATACTTTTATTTACACTTGTTTAGTTGTTAATTTTCTTAACACCTGAATGCTTTGTTGGCCAGTTAATAACAACCTCAGTTTTTCTTTTAGATTGTCAATAAAATCATATGATAGGAGTTAAGTAGGCATATCAATGTTTGCTCCGGTCTAGTCCAAAATCCACAAAGTTCAAGCTTATATTTTAAAGTCGGGGCAAACTCAAACATGGTTAAAGGGTAGGTCCATAGTTCGTAGGGATTTTCTTTAAACAAGTATAAATTTTAACAACATCCAATCATCCATCAATAATTTTTTCTTACAAATCCAAGTTAATTAAAATGCAAAAGTGAAAACCCAAACACATCTTAAATCCTAACAGAAAATATAAGACTGACAACAAGTAAACACAAGATAACAAAGAACATATTTAAACATTAAAAAAAAAACTTTGTCATGTTTAAATTATATGTCATTTAGCATGCATGAAAGATTGTAGATTGCTTAGTTATTGTTTCGACTAACAAAACGTTCTAGATCGACATACCTTTATTATCATAGGAAAAAAGAAAAAGGAAATATAATTTACTTCATCCTCACTAGGCAAGTGTTTAACTGTAGTCACTTAGTGGTAATAATCATCAGAATCATGTTCGTATGGGTCCGTAATCGGATTCAGAAAAGCCTTCGTTATCTCTACGGAATGATTTGGGTTTCTAGCCACAATCAAAGTTTTATCCACTTTAAATCTAGATTGTACTTTTAACAATATAAAACTTACTTTTGAGTCTTTCATAGAATTCCCGGGAAGGAAATATTAATTAGAGATTTGTGTAGTTAAGTATTTAAACGAGAAATAAATTTTGTGGTTAAATCAGGTTAATTACCCATTCAGTATGAAGGGATAATCTAAAAGCATTAAGGTCTACAAAGATCCAAGAAGTAGAATAAGTCCTTTTAATAATTGATTCTTGATTACGATCATTAAATCTTTGTAATAAAAAGACAATAACATCCACTTGTGTTTTTATTTCACTTTGAATATCAATTGAAGTTATCACAACCAAAAAAGGTATGATGAAACAATTTTTTAGTTTATCAGAATGAAACGAAAGCTACAATGTGGCTCTTACCGTTGAATGAAAATATGACCATTAAGAGAAGCCTTCACTATCTCGACGGAAGTATCTGGATAATTGGCAGCGAAGACCTTGAACTGATCATCATTGTTACAAATCGTCTTCAAATTTCCTAACTATATAATTGAGAACAGAGACCATTAGGGCTTGGTCATAAGGATATAAAGACAACTCGTAGACGTTATAAACATTCGATGAGTTAAGAGATGCAATAAGCTCGTTTCTACATAGATCCTGCAAATGCGGAATCTCATATTTGTCCGCAGCTTTATAAAGTGGTCGAACATGTTTCTTCTCTTTTTCAGAAAGCACAGAGCGGTTGTTGTAGATGAACTCAACTAAAGCCTCCAATTCTTCTTGTTTAAGCTCATAGAGAGTTACTGTCTCGATCTTCCCATCTGAAGCCTTGACATTGTCTGATTCAAGCATCTTCTTAAACACCTCTGATCTTGCTGCCTATTAACATTTGATGATATAACAATAAATAGTGAAAATCATTTTCAAGTAAGATCCAACACTAAACATAATCATTTCTACAGTTAAACTTGTTTTTATTGAAAAGAGGTAAGAGAGAAAAAATTTAGAGACCATAACAAGTTTGTGGGCGGAGATAGCTTCACCCTCTTCAGTGTCCCCTGCCTTGAGGAGTAGATCGACTTGCCATTTTTCACCTAAGATCTTTGCAAATCCACCCAAGAAAGTTTCTAGGTTGCTCTGCGTTGCCATAGTCGCTATCACTTGAACTAGTGATTTAGAAAACGGTGGTGAGTTATATAGAGAGAAAGTCCATAAACGACGTTCAAAATTTCACTCGTTTTTACATTCTCTGTTTCCCAAGACTTACGAAATGGAGGAGAAAATTAATGGTAATAACATAAAGTCCCAACTTTCAGACAACCTTCACTGTTTAGATTCCGAATTCTATGAACCAAATGGATGTTTCTGAAGTGTTTTTTGAAAATATAAGTTGCTTGGTCAATGGAGTATTTTGTTATATTTTTATTTTTTGACCAAGTATTACACTTGTTTAGTTGTTTTCTTGACATCTGAATACTTAATGATTAAAGCTTTGACACAAAGTAATATTCATGTATGCTTAGACAGTTTTGTAGGAAAATAACTAGGGCTGGCTGTTCGGTTCTTCGGTTCCATTCAGTTTGGTTCTTTCGGTTTTTCGTTTCCAACTCCTTAGGATTCATAAAGGAGCCGAAAAAAAATTCGGTTATGTTACTTGTCGGTTCGGTTCGGATACTTAGAAAGAGAACCGACAAATAACCGAACTCCATTGGATTTCGGTTCGGTTCCAGTTATCTATCCAAAATACCCAAAACTTAACAAAAATTAATCTATTGACTATTGAGAAAAAAAAATGTATTAGAACTTAAAATAGGTTGAGTACTTAAAGATTGTGTCAAAATGTATTGGGCTTAGTTCTAGGTTTGTAGAGGGTTGACCAAACATTTTCGGTTCTATTCGGATACCCATGGATATCGGATAATAACCGAACCGATATCCAGTAGATTGTATGACTGAGATCCATTCAAATACTTAGTGGTATCCATAATCGATCCGAAATCATTTTTCGCTTCGGTTTGGTTCAATTCTTCGGTTTCAAGTTTTATGCCTAGGCCTAAAATTAAAATAACTATATTTTTTTGTTGATTATGAACTCTACTCTAATAGATGCATGCAAACTTGCTACTCGATCGGTAATGTAAAGAACTATCTCAGAGAAGACGTTCTATTCTTTCACTTCCATTCCCTAAATCCGATATCCAATTGCTTTGCAACATTAAATTCTTCGGCAAAAGAATGTAAGATTGTAAATTGCTAATCAATTGTTACAACTTACGTACAAAAAGTTCAAGACTTCTAGTTACCTTTGTTATTATTGGAACAAAAAGAAACAGAAACAATAATTTAGCTCATCCTCACTAGGCAAGTGTTTAACCGTAGTAACTTAGTAATAATCATCAGAATCATCTTCGTATGGGTCCATAATCGGATTCAGAAAAGCCTTCGTTATCGCTACGGCAAGATTTGGGTTTCTTGCCACAAACAACCTGAAGTCACCACAATCTACAATTCCTAGCTTAAGCAAGTCAAGAGCATTCGACGAATTCAGAGAAGATATAAGCTCGTCTCTGCACAAGTCTTGTAAATGCATGATCTTGTATCTATGGGCTGCTAGATAAAGCGACCGAACATGTTTCTTCAGTTTTGCAGAAGAAAATGATATGCCATCGCTATACATGAACTCAACTAGAATCTCTAACTCTTCGTGTTTCATCTCCGATAGAGTTATTGTTTGAGTGCCGAAAAAAGCCTTGATCATGTCTGATTCTAGCATCTTCTTGAATACCACAGATCTATTAAAGGATCCATATGAAACCCAATATAGTGTCTTATGTGTAGTCCTAAAGCCCATGTAATGGTCCATGTAACTAGGGTTCTTAGCAAGATAGTGACTCATATATATAGTCATGTAATGAGAACTTTGGTGTTAACTTTGAGAGTTATCTCAAAACAACTCTCCTTCTCATCTTTATGAAAGTATCAATTGAATCATTGTATTCTTGGTGACAACAAAGTAATCTTCCTCTCTTTAGTTTCTTTGCATAATAAAGCTCTTAATGAGCTATTGCATTTTCGGTTTTATATATCTCTTTCAATAAGCTCTTATTCTTATATTTATTTTAAAGGGCATCAAAGTTATAAAAACGTCATGTAGTCTAGTGGTATATGGTATGTTTAAAGGTAGACGGTTTTGGGTTCGAGCTAGGCCTGGGCATAAAACCCGAAATCCGAAAACCGATCCGAAAAATCCAGAACCGAACCCGAACCGAATAGTCACAAAATCCGAACGGATCATGAATTCTCCTATCCGAATTACCCGAACCGAACCCGATCCGAACCGAAAACCGAAAAGATATCCGAAAACCGAAAATAAAATTATATATCTAAAAATATTAGTTATATTTAGTTGTAATTTTATAGCAAATAACAAAAATATCCTAAATAACCTAGATTTCAGAAATTTTTTAGTTATATTTGTTAAAATTATACATATTTTTGCAAAATATAACCAAATTTTAGTAAGGTTGAACCAATTTTTATATAAATTGAACAATTTTTTGTTTTTTTTTTTTCCCGAAAACCGATCCGAATCCGATACCTATCCGAACCAAAACCGAAACGATGACTCATAAAATCCGAACGGATAATAAATTCTCCAACCGAACCGAAAAGTCATAAAATCCGAGCGGATAATAAACTCTCATATCCGAATTATCCGAATCCGATCCGAAATCCGAATGCCCAGGCCTAGTTCGAGCCTTGGCAACTGAGATTTTAGTATTTTTTTAATTTTTATTTGTTGTAAATGGGCATCAAATTTTGTTGGGCTTTAGGCATCATGAATCTTTGGGCCGGCCCTGCCGCCTATAAACAACGATAAAAGCATCTCAAAAACTAAAAATTATTATATCTTAGTGCTTTTTTTTTTTTGTATGAATTGAAGATGATAAAAATAAGAGAGAAGAGATACAAGAACAAGTTTGTGGACAGAGATAGCTTCAAAATGATCACTATCTCCTGCCATGAGTCGTAGATCGGTATGCCATTTTTCTTTTAAGACTTTTGCAAATCCACCCGAGAAAAGGTCTTTATTAGTCTGTATTGCCATATAGTTGTAGCTTTTGTTACAAGTAAAGCGAATATATAATAACTTTAGTTATAAGATGTTAGGGTTATATAGAAAACCAATAGCCAAAATGACGGTCAAACTGAATGATACATTCATAATGTTACAAGTTACCAAAAAGTAATCGTCTTTATGGTTTTGTTGACTCATTCATTTTGTATTGGTTCACACGATACCAATTTTATTTCGACACCTAGCTACGTGACAAGCATTACTATATTACTTTTAATACTATCTGATTTGCAGAACTTAAAATCATTTGATTTGCAATCGTTTGTTGAGAACGTGAGATGATGACTGTACAAATTTCTAATTAGTTTATTTAAAAACACATTTATCATCTCTACCTATTTAGAATCATTCATCCCCACTTCTTTCTTTTGGTCTCGTAAAACATGGAGTTGGGAAAATCAATTGAGAACCAAAACGACGTCGTGGTAAGACTAACCAAGCATGTCATCTGTACCGTTGCTAATGGCTCCAACCTTGTCTTCTCACCGACGTCAATCAACGTTTTGCTCAGCCTCATCGCGGCCGGTTCAAGTTGTGTGACCAAAGAACAAATCCTTTCATTCCTCATGTTACCGTCAACGGATCACCTCAACGTAATCTTGGCTCAGATCATCGACGGCAGCACCGAGAGAAGTGATTTGCGCTTGTCTATAGCCAATGGTGTTGGATCGACAAGTTTTTCTCCTTGAAGCCTTCCTTTAAAGCGCTTTTGGAGAATTCTTACAAGGCTACCTGTAGTCAAGTTGACTTCGCAACCAAGGTAACTTGTTTTTTTCTTGATGGACAAATTTTGAAATTCTTGAATTTATATTACATCAAATTTTTGGAATGATTTGTTAAAATTTATGATCGCTTATCGTGAAGCCTTCTGAAGTGATTGATGAGGTGAATACATGGGCTGAAGTCCAAACTAATGGACTCATCAAGCAGATTCTTTCACGTGATTCTATCGATACTATCCGTAGCAGCACACTCATTCTTGCAAATGCAGTCTACTTCAAAGGAGCATGGAGCAGTAAATTTGATGCAAAGTTGACAAAAGATTACGATTTTCATCTTCTTGACGGTACCTCGGTGAAAGTCCCCTTCATGACCAATTACGAGGACCAGTACCTAAGAAGCTATGATGGTTTCAAAGTTTTGCGTCTCCCTTATATAGAGGATCAACGTCAATTCTCTATGTACATATATCTTCCTAACGATAAAGATGGATTAGCTGCTCTGCTTGAGAAGATAGGCTCCGAACCAGAATTTATCGATAACCATATTCCGCTTTACCGTATATCAGTTGGTGCATTCCGGATCCCAAAGTTTAAATTCTCTTTCGAGTTTAGTGCTTCAGAAGTTCTGAAAGATATGGGGCTGACTTCACCATTCAATAATGGAGGTGGTTTAACTGAGATGGTTGATTCACCTTCCAACGGTGACGATCTATACGTCTCAAGCATTCTTCATAAAGCTTGTATTGAAGTGGATGAAGAGGGAACCGAAGCTGCAGCCGTCTCTGTTGGCGTCATAAAGTGCACTTCTTTTAGGCGGAATCCGGATTTCGTAGCTGACCGTCCGTTTCTGTTCACTGTCAGAGAAGACAAGAGTGGAGTGATTTTGTTCATGGGTCAAGTTCTTGATCCTTCAAAACATTAATTGAACTGGGATTGTGTGGGAGAAAACATTAAGCCACCATATGTTATGCTGTATTTTGTGGATATTCATGGTTTGATGGAATTGGGTTCCTCTTTTTACTGCTTTGTGTGTGATTAATAAAAGTGATTATTGTCAAGAAATTTGCAAGATTTATGGTTTTTCAGATTATATTTAGTGTTGACATAATCATCTTTAATTAGTGTAACAATGCTCTCTTTTCCACCAACTCGTAATATTGTCTCCTCGCGATTCAATTGCGTAAAACGTCTTACGCTAGTTTTTCAGTCCCACATCTCATATATTTCCCCACACCGCTGTGACCTTATAGATTTCTTGCTTGTACTTATACTTGAAAGGGAAAAAAAAAACTCTTGGCACACCACCTAATGTTCATTTGTAGAATTCAACGCAACTCCAAGATGATACCTGGTGAGGAACAGCTGAGTGTATGATAAATCACTTGATTTTTGACAAAAATACTTAGGAGTAGATCTGTAACTCTAGGCCCAAGAGTAGGAGTAGATGTAGGACATCTTCTCAAATCTTCACTAGCCAGAGGAATTATATTTCATGTGTCTTCTTTGCTTTTCTAATGCATTTTAGTGGAAACTGTCAAGGAAATATCTCTTCTTCTTTTCTTATAATATTTTTCTCATTACTATACTTGCTCTTCAGTCATTAAGACACAAGTTCAAGCATTGAAAACATTATTCTCTTTGGCTTTATGAAGATGCAAAGAAGGTTACTTTAAAAGGATTTTTAAATCAAAAGACCCATGGAATCAAGTGTGAAGCGTGGTTCAAGCAACGAATTGGTACAAGGGGGTTTGGTTCTCTCATGATACACCCAAGTACTCGTTCCTTGTATGACTTGCAACATTCAATCAGGTGACTACATGATACAAAATGAGCGCATGGAATGTGGGAGTGAATTCTAAATGTGTTTTTTTTTTTGTCAAGACCCAATAAGGACCCGAAGCATATATGATTTGCACCATTTGAACTAAGTATTTGTTTAAGAATTAGTTTTTCAAAATATTCAATTTGCACCATTTGATCCACTTTCATTTAAGCATATATTTTGGACTGTCTGATCCGTTTGATACGCATTTGTTCCGCATGATCTTCTTTCTACATTTGAAGCTTAAATCTTGATTGTACTTTTAACAATATCAGACTTATTTGTAGAATTCCGTTAACCAGAGATTTGCCATTTGAGTAGCAAGTATTCGAACAGGAAATAAATTTTGAGGTTTAATAAAGTTACCATAGAGGTAATGAGGGTTGAAATCAGTTCCTTTTCCGGCTAGGACTAGTAGGTCTTAGTGGTAATAAATTAAATTAAGGTTTTATGATTGTATATTTTTTTAGGTTGCTTCATTATCTCCACTGTGTGATTTGGGTTACTGACCAATTGACCATGAAGAACTTGAACTCACTAGAGCTACGAATCGTACATAACCAAAGAAAAAAAAAGTTGCAAGTTGTAATCAAGTTTGGAAAGGGTTAGAACAAAAGTCATTATTTCTACAAGAACGGTACCAAATTCTAATTATGTTAAAATGAAATGCAAGTAAATTTGTCAAAGCTGAAGAAGAAAAAAAGTGATAGATATGGTTAAACATAATTTTATTTATTAGAATGAAACGAGAGCTACAATTTGGTTCTTCTTATAGCTAGCTAGTCGACGTAATGACCATTCCATATCAAAGTGAAAGAAGCTTTCATTATCTCAACAGCATCCTAGCCAGGAAACCCTTGAGCTCAGCAGATTTACATATAGACATAGTTGCCAAATTCCGCATGATAAATTTGGCAGCAGGGTCATTCAAGGCTTTGTCAAAAGGAGTGAAGGACAGCTCCAAGACGTTAAGAGCATTCGATAAGTTAAGAGATAATATAAGCTCCTTTCTACATAGATCCCGCAAATGCGGAATCTCATATTTGTCCGCTGCTTTATAGAGTGATTGAACATGCTTCTTCTCCTTTTCAGAAAGCACGGATCGGTTGTCGTAGATGAACTCAACTAAAGCATCCAACTCTTCTTGTTTAAGCTCAGAGAGAGTTAATGTCTCGATCTTTCCATCTGAAACCTTAAACTTGTCGGATTCAAGCATCTTCTTAAATACCTTTGATCTTGCTGCCTATTAACATTTGAGGAAATAATATATAGCTAGTGAAAAGCATTTCAAATAAGATCCAACTAGACATAATTTTTTCTAGAGTACCAATACCATGTTTATTAATACATTTCCAAAAATGTTTTTATTTTGAGTTGGAGAATGATAAATAAAAAAGAGATAAGAGGAAAAATTAGTTACCAAAACAAGTTTGTGGACTGAGATAGCTGCACCCGTTTTAGTGTCCCCTGCCTTGAGCCGTAGGTTGACTTGCCATTGTTCACCTAAGAAAATTTCTTGGTTGCTCTGTGTTGCCATAATTACTAGGACTTGAACTTTATGGTGGTGAGTTAAATAGAGAAAACTCCATAAACGGTGGTGAGTTATATAGAGAAAACTCCATAAACGGCAGACAAAATGATTCTTGTTTTATTTTCTTCGTTTTCCAAGACTGGAGACCTTTTAGTTGCCCTTCTCTCTTGGGACTCCCCTCCGAATTATATGCATATTTCAGAAGTATTTTCGAAAATATAAGTTTTTTTTTTTGTTAAAATACAGTAGTAATAAATACTCCTTTCGATTTATTAAGTCAAAATGTTTAAAATTTGGCATATATGTATATGGGGAATTGTTTTACATCTCCTACCTAATATACCAGCCTAGACATGATTAAAGGGTCAAGTCCATTATTTTTGAGGGATTTCTTGAGAAAAATACCATAAATTTTAATAACATCAATCAATATTTATTTTACAAAAAAACAATAGTATAAGATTCACAAAAGACACATATAACAAAGAAAGTGGAATTAAAGATTAAACCTTGTTATTAGTTATGTTTATACTAAATATTGTTTTAGATTTTCTTTTGTTGATTCGGAACTTATGTATTAAACACATGCATGCAAACTTTTTATTTTATTTTGGTTTCCCATGCATGGAAACTTGTTACACGTTCAAATTAATTTTTCACTTCCATTTCCTATATCCGATATTCAATTTCTTTGTTTATAAAATATATGGGGAACAGAGGAAGTGAAAAAAATAAAAAGTTGGAACAATTTATGAAGAGAGAGAAGCAAAAATAAAAAGCTGAGAATAAAAAAAGAGAAAAAACAAAAAAAGAGAAAGGATAGGCTCATCCCTTTTGGCTCGTGGGATGAGCTCGAGCATTCTTCATAAAGCTTGCATTGAGGTGGACGAAGAAAGAACCGAAGCTGCAGCCGTGTCAGTTGTCGTCATGATGCCCTGCTGTTCGAGGCGGAAACCGGATTTTGTAGCTGACCATCCATTTCTGTTCATGGTCAGAGAAGACAAGAGTGGAGTGATTTTGTTCATGGGTCAAGTTCTTGATCCTTCAAAACATAGATTGAACTTGGTGGTGTGGGAGAAAACTTTAAGCCATATTGTATTTTGTGTATATTTAAGGTTTCGTCTCCATATGCTCTGCCTCACATATCGGCTTTTGTTTATAAGCATCATACAACATTTTAGCCATTGTGAATGAAAAAATATATATGAAGTAAGTAAACTGGCATTTACCGCATGTTTCTCCTACTCTCCTCGACATCCAAGTTATTAAAATATCATTTCAAATTCTTGCTACTTTATCTTTCATCATTTGATTTTTTTCTTGGGTGAAATCTTGATCCTTACGTTCAGTCAATCACGTCTAATTTAAAGGAGTGTTTTGGGGACAACAATATGAATACCGTGTGAAGTGTTGAAAGCAACCATTACAAGCGTTTGTTTGGTAATATTGTGGAAGTGATATCTTGTATTTTTGTTAGTTTTCTAGCTTTGTTTCTCTTAGTTTTCAACCATTTTGCATTCATGTTTAGGTTATTAGGTGCATATTTGCATTGCATTTCTTACTTCTAGGTAGGCCTGGGCAAAATATTCGTTAGATCCGCTTCGATTCGGTATTCGTTTTGATTTGATTCGAAAAATCCGAATATCCGTAAAATTTTAGAGCAAAGCAAATAAGAAAATGTAGTATTTGTAAAAACCGAAGCAAATAACAAATATTGATTTTTTTAAAGTCGGATATCCGCTTCGATCCGTATTTTTTGATATACATTAGTATATATATATTTTTGGTAAAAAATTTATGATATATATATGCATATCATAAGATATTTTTAGCTTGTATTTGTAAACTAAATTTTTAATCCTTTGAACATGTGTTTGTGACACAATTTAATAGTTTTTATTAATGAAGTGGAATTTATTGAAGAAAAAAAAATCAATATCTCTTAAAAATAAGAAGTATCGAAGCGAATATCCGCGAGCGCTTAGCTTTTTAGGGTTTTAATAGGTGCAGAAGTATCGAAGCGAATATCCGCAAATATCACAAAAAAATCCGGATATTCGTTTTTCCGAATATCCGGAAATTTTCGGATCAAAGCAAATCACAAAATCAAGTATTCGGTTGAGACGAATCGAATAACAAATATCCCAAATTTTTCGGATATCCGCTTCGTGCCCAGGCCTACTTCTAGGTTCATGGAGTGGATTTTAGAGTTTTGATGGCAATTGGAGCACTAATGGGGTAAAAAGAAGTAAATCAAGCAAAAAGGAACGAATTGTGAAACCCTTCCTAAATTACGTGAAATCCTTCCTAAATTTCGTGGAATCCTTCCTGAATTTCTTGGATTTTTTTTTGGCGAGAAAAGTCGGACGGAATTTTTTTGGCGGGAAAATTTTGACGACATTTTTTTTTCCGGGAGCGGAAAATATTTTGGCGGGAAATTTTTGTCGGGATTTTTTTTTTGCGTGAAAATATTAACGATGAATTTGTGATTTTTTATATTTATTTATAATTATTTATTAATTTTAAAAATCAAAAATAAGGTGCTATTTTTGCCTAATAAACTTTTGAGTGCTATTATTGTCCCAAAAACTTGATTTGGGGCTATTTGAGACAATTTCTCTATTTATATTCGTAATTTGTATAAAAATCATAAATTTGAGATTAAAATCTTTTTTTCATGTGTTTAATGTAATTTTAAAATCAA